TCTTGTCCACACCGATAGCGGGCTACGGCTGACGGCGAGCAGGCGGGAGGTGGATGAACTGCCGCCCAGCTATGTTGCGGACTGAGGGTACCAATGACGGCGGGCAGTGTTGGGCTGCCTTGGCCATGTCGTTTCAACTTTCAATGGATTGTATTTTTTGTGTCGTGCGCTGCAGTGCCAGTGTTTTTTTTTTTGGTGTCTCTCGAGTAGAACCAGAGGTCCAGTGTGGTTTTCCACCCAACAAGGCTACGATTCATCACAGAGCTTTTTTTCAAAAGATATTTGCGGGCAACCCGGCAACTCAAGTGCACCGTCTTGCCAAAGTTTTGACCGTTGTCGTCGGGAGTCCGAGTCAGAGTCTTGAACCCTTCACGATCCGTAGTAGCAGTATCTGCAAGCATTGTATGCACTCGGTCTCGCGACGTTCTCATTCAGGCAAACGATCTGCACAAGTTGCGATGAGGGTCAAGGAAGAAAAGGAAATTGTCCATGTTTGGCCTGCTTTGGCACGGATCAACCGGCCCGCCACGACTTGTCCTCGACCATCACCATCCCGCCCATGGCTCACTTGGAGCCTGTGTTCCCGGTGGAATTGGAACGGGAGATATTCGAAACTACAGCGCTTATGTATCCGAAGGAAATCCCATCGCTGCTACGGGTCGCACGCCGAGTCCTCGTCTGGTCAGTCGCAAGTTCGGTCAGCATCTCCTGGGACGCTCTTACAAGTACATTCACTACAGGGTTGAACCACTGCTTTACAGGATCATTCATATAGCTGGAAATCCTGGGATGGCCAGCGCTCTGTTGTCCGCGATGTCAACAAAGCCGCCACAATTCTTCCGCGCCGTACGCCATTTGGATCTAGACAGCGGCGATTTGGGGCCTGGCGCCAGCCTGCGACTCTTCTGGCTCTGCAACAAAATTGTTGACCTCATCATCCGGCCTAACTCCACGAATCCCATTCTTCTCCCCATCCTCGCACAAATGCGCGTCCAGCGGCTGAGCATGTATTTGGGGCTGATGTTTCGCGGTTCTATCAATTTGCAGCACAAGCTGTTCCACTCAGGAACCCATCTTGATATCTTTGATAGGCAGGGGGTACTCGAAGCCCTTTCCGATGTCCCAAAGCTCCCTGCCCTCACGCACTTGTGTTTGCACTCCAGCATCCCCAGAGACGACATCCTAAAGGTGCTCTCAGAGTGCCCCCGCCTGAGCATCCTGCTAGTTCAATACTCCATCATGCGAGAGGATGAATACTATGGCGAGGCGCAATTTCCTCACGTTTATGACGCGCGCTTTGTCATCAGCCTGGACGACAAGTACTGGGAGGATTGGGTGGCTGGTGCGAAGGGCTTCCCGGGCGTCTGGTCGGCTGCTGAGGCTTTCGTCGCGCGCAAACGGAAGGGCGAGATTGAAGGTAAGATTGACATAGCCGCTCTGTGCCCGCCTTTTCTGATATTTCTTTTAGCGACGAGGTATTGGTTAGATTAACAGCGCGCAGGACACTCAAGAGCCAAGTGTGCTGTTGCCCGAGATGTATATGCACTCGACTCCGTTGTATCGTGAATACGCAGACGTTTCTCTACTCCAAAGCCCGCTAACCCTTTGGCCTATTCCCCCTTATCTGAACCGAGTTTCCCCCTCGCGCCATTTCGGATACCGGCGGGCTGTGACCTCTCCGCACCACAACTGTGCTCTACTTGTTTCCATCATCACTTTATGCCAATCGTTTTCAGGTACGGGTTTCATCCACCAAAAAGCGGACTTGCTAATTGCACTGAGGCACGAAGAGCAACGTTCGTCTCAGAGTCTCCCCTTCATCATACTCAAAATTGTCCGCACGACCGCACATGCGAGTGCCTTGAGTCAAAATCAACCATAGTAATTTCTGTCGAGCATTCTCGTACTCGCCTCCATTGAGGACAGAGCATTTTCCGACCATTCTAATGCACTCTGGACCGGGGAAGAAATCAACCTAAGGCAGACATGGCCCAGCCCCGAATCGAACGGGCTCTTCTGCTCAATATCCTTGCACCCTTCCCAGTCTTAGCAGACGCGCAACCATGCGCAGCCGAGCCTACAGCGCGTACGCGGGTACGTGTAATTTGAAGACGAGGTGAAGTCCATTTCTCAGTCAGCTGAAACCGATCTTCGTTATCACAGACGAACCTGAACAAGTTGAAATTCGGTTTTCCCAGAGATATTTGCAGATACGCCGCAAGGCCTTGCCTTCAATGCTCGAATTTTGTGACGGTGAGGAGGCTTTGAGCGCGATTTTTGACCCGGCTAACCGCTGGAAAACATTGTCCTCTAGGCGGGATAAAGAAAACTTTGTTGCGGGAATCACCTACGGCTCAACCCCGAATCGAACAGGCTCTTCCGCTCAATTCCCTCGCCCACTATCTAATCCTAGCAGACGCGCAACCACGCGCAACCGAGCCGACAGCAGATACGTAGGTCCGCGATCCCTGAACGCCAGGTACGTCCATCTCTCAGTCAACGCTGAAAGTTATTACAGGCACACCTGAACCAGTTGAAACTCACTTCTCGGAGATATCTGCAGACTTGCTTCATGACGCCGCAAGGACTTGCCTTTAATCCTAGAATGTGGCAACGGTGAGGAGGCTTTGAGGCGGGATAAAGAAAAAATTGTTGCGGTTCACCTACGGCTCAGCCCCGAATCGATCGGGCTCTTCTGCTTAATTCTGCTGCCGAGATTACAATCTTAGCAGACGGGCAACCATGCGCAACCGAGCCGACATCATGCATGTAGATGAGCATAACTTGCACGAGATGTCAAGTACACTTCACAGTCTCCCTGAAAATGAGCTGCGTTATTACAAGCGAACCTGAACAAGTTGAAACTCATTTCGCAGAGATATTTGCAAACTGAATCTATGACGCCGCAGGATTTATGTTTCATCGCACAATGTCGTTTGAGTGCAACATTAAGCACTCCGGAGAAACGTTTTCCTATAGGCGGGATAAAGAAAAAATTGCCGCGGGTATTTTCTCACACCTCAGCCCCGAATCGAACGGGCTATTCTGCTAAATTTCATGGCCCAGAACCCAAACTCAGCAGACGCGCAACCATGCGCAACCGAGCCTACAGCGCGTACGCGGGTACGTGCAATTTGAAGGCGAACTTGAAGAAGCTGATCCTCATGTCTTCTAGACGTTTGCAAACTTGGTCTGGGGAAGCGATCCGCACAACGGGGATACCAATCGAATGTCGCAAGGATCTACAAACCCAGTTTCATCGCCCAATGTCTGGACGGTAAGGAGGCTTCGAGGCCAATTCTTCAACCCGGCTGACTACCAAAATAATTGTCCTCTAGGCGGAATAATGAAAAAAAAAGGGTTGGGAATTCCATATACTGTAGCGATGTGTATGGGTGAAACGGATTTTGCAGCGTTACTGAAACAGTTGAGTTGAAACCAGAAACGGCCCAGCTGTTATGCGTTACACTTGAAACGACGGACCTTGCGAGCCTATGTTTTTTCCACCATTTACACGTTTTTTGGTGAAAAAATTCAGCGTAACACAAAATTTAGGTGAAACGGGGGCCCCGTTATCCGTTACATGCCCGAAATTTTGAAACGAAACGATGCCGCCGTTATGCGTTACGTTTCACCCATACACATCACTACAGTATACGGCCCAGCCCCGAATCGAACGGGCTCTTCTGCTCAATCCCTTGCCCATTACCTAATCCTAGCAGACGCGCAACCATGCGCGACCGAGCCGGCGTCAGGTACGTGGGTGCGTATTATCCGAAGGCGAGGTGAAGTCCATGTCTCAGTCAACGCTGAAACCGGGCTGCGTTATTACAGGCGAACTGAAACTCGCTTCTCAGAGAGATATCTGCAAATATACTCCATGACGCCGCGAGGACTTGCGTTTAATCCTAGAATGTGGCAACGGTGAGGAGGCTTTGAGGCGGGATAAAGAAAAAATTGTTGCGGTTCACCTACGGCTCAGCCCCGAATCGATCGGGCTCTTCTGCTTAATTCTGCTGCCGAGATTACAATCTTAGCAGACGGGCAACCATGCGCAACCGAGCCGACATCATGCATCATGATGTAAATGAGCATAACTTGAACGAGAGGTCAAGTACACTTCACAGTCTCCCTGAAACCGATCTGCGTTATCACAGACGAACCTGAACGAGTTTAAATTCACTTCTCAGAAATATCTGCAGACTTGCTTCATGACGCCGCAAGGACTTGCATTTAATCCTAGAATGTGGCAACGGTGAGGAGGCTTTGAGCCAGGATAAAGAAAAAAATGTTGCGGGAATCACCTACGGCTCAGCCCCGAATCGAACGGGCTCTTCTGCTCAATTTCTCTCCGGGGATCCCAGTCTTGGCAGACGCGCAACCATGCATAACCCAGAAGGTACGTCGGTGCGAACCTGAAGAAGCTGACCCTCATTTCTTCTGGACGTTCAAACTTGGTCTGCGGAAGCGAGGAAGGGATCCGCACGACGGGGATGATAATTAAATGTCCAGTTTCATCGACGGTGAGGAGGCTTGGAGGTCGATTTTTCAACCCGGCTGAGTACCAAAAGCATTTTCCTCTAGGTGGAATAATGAAAAAAAAAAAGGGTTGGGAATTCCATATATACGGCCCAGCCCCGAATCGAACGGGCTATTCTGCTAAATTTCATCGCGGAGAAGTGAATCTGAGCAGACGCGCAGCCATGCGCAACCAAGCCTGCATCAAGTACGTTGGTACGATCCAATGAAGGCGAACTTGAAGAAGCTGATCCTCATTTCTTCTAGACGTTTAAACTTGGTCTGGGGAAGCGAGGAAGGGATCCGCTGTCCGCACAACGGGGATGCTAACTGAATGTCGCAAGGATTTACAAACCCATTTTCATCGCCCAATGTCTGGACGGTGAGGAGACTTTGAGGCCAATTTTTCAACCCGGCTGAGTACCAAGATAATTGTCCTCTAGGCGGAATAACGAAAAAAAGGGTTGGGAATTCCATATATACGGCCCAGCCCCGAATCGAACGGGATTTTCTGCTTGCATTGTGAGCAGGACTCGATCTCAACAGTTTCAACAGACGCGCAACCATGCGCAACCGAGCCGATATCTTTTATGTAGATGCGTGTTGCTTCAACCTGAGGTGAACCCTCTCTAAGTCTCTTGTTTTTTCTTCTTGATCTGCAGAGAGAAATGTGCCATATTTGCCGGGGAGGGGCAGCTCAATTCAAGGGAAACAACATCGTCACCGGAGCTAACATCCGCTTATTTTGGTCGATCGAACCCGATCTAACACGAAATACCGGCGCCATCCAGAGAGTGTTGACCTGGATAAAAGAAGAAGAAAAAACATTTATCTTTTCGCGATACGGCCCAGCCCCGAATCGAACGTGCACTTGGTTCTCTGTTGAATCGCGTTTTCATTGTCCAGAGTAGCAGACACGCCACCGAGCATACAAGAGCTATTCTTCGAACATGCCAAGCTCCATATGATCCCAACGAGTGGGCGTGTATCGGTGGGCACTCACACCGAGCGAGACACACTGATTTAGGACGTGAACAATAAGCAAACTAATTCCGTACCAGACGCACGCCAAAAGAAAAGAAAAAGAGGTCCTATCGGCGGTCATGGCTCGACCCCGAATCGAACGGGATACCCGGCTTATTTCGACTTCACCCCCCGTACAGGTGCGTCGGTCCACCTCCATCGAGCCAATACCAGTGGAACTTGCAAAGCGTTGAAGGCCGCCAAGATTTGTTCCAGCCTTGAGGGAGATGGGATGATAGATGCTCCAGGCGGAATAGCTGGAGAGTAAGTAGAAAGGATGGATGGCCGGACCAGACGAGTGAGAAAACCCAGAAACCCAGAAGGAATGGGATGAAGAGGCTCGAGAAGTAGCACCCTCCACGCCCACCCTTGACTACGGCGCACGATCCAGTAGACGGGGAGCAACAAAAGACAACGGCACTCATACGGCTCGACCCCGAGTCGAACGGGTTTCCGTGCATGTCAAGTTCGCGCTGAGTACTTAATCTTTGCGGGTGTGGTCCGACCACTATCGAGCCTTTACAACACGATTCTGAACCTACATGTAGCTGGTGAGGGGTCCGAACAATGTGGCTGTTAAGTGCGCGAAAATTTAAGAGGAAGACGAATCAAGGCACTACTACAGTGATAATCGAGTCGAATGGGCTTGCGGGCGTGCGTCGAGCCATGGAGGCGAAGGAGGCCAAAGATTCAGGGTACCTGATCAATGGACAGCATCAACAAAGAAGAGCGTAGACAGCGCGAGAACGGACCTTCGATACTGAAAATGTGGAGAGGGTCGACGATAATGATAATGCGATCCTGTGAGATGCAGCGCTTGATATGACCACCTTGCGTGCAAACACCCCCGCGCTTCGTCGGTTCCCTGCGTAAATCGCCTCGTGTCCTAGAGTCCAAAAGTTATTTCAAGCCACAGATTTATTCAAGACACGCTGCGAGTGTTATATTCAAGCGAGTTGCAGATGGCCGACATACACGTCACGATATCCGCGCAGCGTTCCACAGATCCCGCAATCCAGCACCAGTCCCAGTCTGATGATCAATATCGTATGCCCAAACGGCGTCCCTGCCCACTTTCGGCGTCCTCAGCAACTCCCCCTCCTGCGGCAACGCAGGCCAAACAAGCCACTCCGGCACCTCATTCGACGTTCTGCGTATGGGCGTCACGATTTTGGTGATGCGGATGTGGACGACGCGCCGGCCGCCGTGTTGCGAACAAGGCTCGAAACGTGCCTGCACTGCGCCTGAAAAAAAAAAAGACAGATTCATCAGTCGAGGGCAAGAGGAGGAGGAAGATTGTGATAAACGGTACCAGTCCACGGTTGAAACACTGTATTTCCACCCATATACCCGAATATCGACCCGGGGTTTATCGTATGCAGGCCCTTGCCAACAGCCATGAGGGTTAGGGCGGTGGACGACAGATCCCACTCCCACTCGTCCTCGAGTCGAAGGAGCGGGCGGGCATACCATACGCTCCCGCGCCCGCCGAAGACGCCGCGGCAGTGGGATATCTCGTCCTTGGTCAGAAAGCCTTCGTCCAGCAGCTGGGTGCGCAGCGCGCCGAGCTCGTTTACCACGTTTCTGGATGCGAGCAACGGCAGGCTGATTTCCCAAGGACGGCCGGAGCCCAGGGTCAAGTCCTGGCCGACAGGGAAGGCGGACGGCCCGCTGGTCGAGGTAAGGCGGAACCGAACGCTGCGTTCCAAATGCGCTTCGTGCGGCTCGCCACGGTAGTACAGAAATCCGGTGCATTTTTCGGGGAACGGCGTGTGTAGGGTGTGCCACCCGTCCGTGGGAGCCTCAACGTGGTAGTGGAGGCGAGCGGCGGGCCCATGCGTGCGCGGGAAGCTGACATGGAATTCCGGTCGGAACGATAAATCGAGCCAGTCGCTGCTTTGGATGTTGCGTGGATTTAACGTGGAGATGGTCTTGTGCGCCGAAGCCCAGTCACTGCCCGAGGAAAAGTCAACGGCCGAGAGGATCTGGGACTGCGAGTACAGCCTACTTCTTGGTGAGAGTTCGATAAAGTCGAATGCGTGTCGTTGACAGTCGGTGTGGCAGAATTCGCAAACTTGACCTTGCGAGCATGACGGTGGCGCCACGTAAGCGGGGGAATGATATTTGTCCAGGTTTGCATGATGTTTGTCCGGCCCGGGTGATCCGCCTTACTTCAACACCCACGCTGAAAAAAATAACGGACTATGTAGTCTGTAGAGCTTTCTTCAACTCTAGAACAAGTGAGAGTAATTAGCCCCGTCACGATGACCATTTTCTCGAAGGGCCAGGTCAGAACCGAAGACCCCTATACTAGTTCTTGGTTGAACATTATCTTCGAACCCGTTGCGTTCATCGATAGAAATTTGCGCCTTGAGTGCGATCACTATCAGCAATTATCTACGTAGGAGTTTCCTCCGTGGGCAAAAAAGCTAGTCTCCAACGAAACACTTCCATGGTCCAGCCCCGAATCGAACGGGTCCATGCATGAACGAAATTCTCATATCCGTCCCGGCAGTTGCGCATCCATACGCGACCGAGCCAGTATCATTGAGGCTTTAAATCGAATTATCAACTCACTCCTTATTGCTTGAGAGGAAGGTGCATGGCGTTTTGCTCGGGATTATAAATGACTCGCAGGGGACAAAAAAGGGCCATAGATGGGCTGAGTATGGCTCAGCCCCGAATCGAACGGGTTCCTCTGTGCTGCCTCACTCGCCACTCCTTGCAGATGCGCGTCCACGCGCTACAGAGCCGATATCAGCCACTGTATGCATAGAATTTTGTTATGCTGGAGGCGGAGGCCAAGCAACTTACTTGGGCTTTAGGGCCATTGCATGCGCATGGCAGTACGAGTCCGGTCCGCTGCGCGGGCTTTCACGGTCCCTTTTACATAATATCAGATGGCCGTGATCTGAACATTTCGGCGCGGCGTGTTCAGTATTTAAACTGAATTGCGCAGCGTGAGCACCAGAATTTGTCTTTTTAACTACCACCATCTATGACCACTTCAATTACTGTTACTGACACAACTTGGGCCATCGATGGTCCCAACCTTTGGGCTACTCTTTCGACTGGACTAATCTCACGCGACCAGTCAGTACCCATCGTCTACTAACCACGAGATATTCCTCAACTCGGGCAACTACACTTCCTTAGCTTGCGTCTCATGAAAATCCGAGACGAGCACAACGCTAATATCAAATCGACCGATTCTATGGCAGTCTGTTACTTGAACGACACTTTCCGCGGTGCAGTCAAGGCGTTGGCCTTATGCACTGGTTTCAACACACACTTCGTGCGAATGGACGGTAATCGCTACGACCAAAGCAGCAGGCTGTACTACACCGTTGCGGGGGGGGAGGTCACATCCTCGTGGTAAGTCGACGCCACCTCGCTAATTATGTAGATGTACCCAAACAATTTCAGGGAAAAAGTACTCAGCGAATACAACAATACGTTTGCGGACGACGCGATTGTGGTCGTGTCTTTCACAGAGGAAAACGCTGAGAGTAGTCGGTCGCTGTATCCCATCGAGGACGACGATATCATTGCGCACTCATCTGACCCCGTCGCTCCTGAATGATTTATTACACATACACACAATCGTGCACCAGAAATATGTAGTTACAGTCCCTTGGTTTGGAGAATCAGATGAAGGTATACATACATTCGGGGATGGGTGGTGGCGACAGAAAAGCCGAGCTGATGCAACTGGATATGGAAACTGCGCATCATGTGCACGGACCAGTTACGGGATAATAATCGTTCAGTGTGACCCGACGGTCACAGTCAGCGCCTCGAGAATCCACCACTTTAGAGGACAGGCTACCCTCCATAGTGAGATCCTGGCCCTATTTACGGCTGAATGCCATTCAATGTGAGTTATGTCGCGTATCTTATAGAGAAGGGAGACAAAAGGGAGAACACAGATCTGGAGCCTATTTGGTTGTATTGACATTCCACGTGATGCTATCGATCTTGTCTTCTGCCCTCCTTGAATCTTCCGTTCGCAGTCATCACCCTCGATCGCCGCCCCTCCAAGCTTTCAGACGGTCAGAGGAAGGTTTACATACCCTGTCTTCGTTGCCTCCTCGCATTAGGGAGCATCGACTCCAATGAACGACCTTGCAACGACCAAAGACGATTGTTGTCAATATCGACGCGTAAGTTAGCAGCAGTAAAGCGCTTCGATGCTCTCACAATACTTCTTAGGTGACCCTATTCGATACACTGGCTACTTGTTTTCTGGCTGGAATTGTCGAGCGGTGTGGGCTTCTTCCCAGCTGTTTATAACTTGCTTTATCCACGCGCGGTCCCTGATCCACGTTGGCACCTGCAAAATGCGCATGCGATATACCGGGACATACAGAGCACCGGAGTCGCTACGTAGTGAACCAGGTACGTCTAATTACCTTCATTTGCGGCCTTTTCACTCTCTCCCCTCTATCCCTGTTCACCCTACATTACAATATTCCACCTGCATAATCTTTACTGTGGCTGTAAACTTACGCACTCCACAGAACCGCCACGGAGAGAACGCACCCGGATGCACCAAGC